GCTGAAATAGGAAAAATTACATCAGGCTGACAGAGAAATCGTTCTTTTACACCTTGAAATTTTGTTCATTCCTCTTAGGTCATAAAAGTTAAAGAGAAGATAGCTCCATAATCCCATACTTCTTTCAATGTCATGAAAGTTGAACAAATAGTTAAAACAAAAATCATAATCTCACATACCCTCACAGCCACCAAACTCTACAGGTAAACTAAGTCAGGTTACAGATCAAACTACATTTACATATTCACAAAGAGACTAATTGAGGAGGAGGACTGATATATTGCCAAGGAGTCAGAGGCAGTGGAGATCCTTCCTCTGGCTTCTTATCTAAGGAATGTTTAACACTCTTAAGTAACTTTTTATATCCCATCAGACATATTTTGGTTTGATGAGGTTAATATTCATTCAAATTGCAAGACAAATCAAAGGAAATAAAAAATTCCCAAAACCATACTAAGATTAAGAGGGATCAGGAAAGGCTTCCTGTAAAAGGTGAGATTTTAGTTGTGACTTGAAGGAAGCCAGAGAAGCCAGAGGAAGGGAATTCCGGGCTTGGGGGACAGCCTAGGAAAATGTCCAGAGCTGAGACATGGAGTATGTTGTGTGAGGAATAGTAAGGAGGCCATTGTCACCGGATCAAAGCATAGGTGGTGGACAGGGTTCAGTATAAGGTATAAGAAGACTAGAAAGGGGAGGGAGAGGGATCAGAGCTAGGTTATGAAGGGCTATGAATGCTAAACAAAAGATATTATATCTGCCCCTGGAGTTGCTAGGAAGTCATTGGATTTTACTGAGTATAGGGAATTCCGTCATTAGACCTCCAGCAAAATGGTTCCCATACGGATTCTGGTTCACTTTCTTTTGTTTTCTACTGCCATGGATCTAGGGGTCCTAGATATCCTATGGTACTTATTCCTTAGAAGAAGGTTTCTATTGATTTCCTCCTCCTATGTATTGAACTTTCCTTTCATGTGGAGCAGTTTAGTGTTGAAAGAGGCAAAAAAAACTACTCTTGTTTAAATAAAAATAATTAAATCAACTGGTAAAAGATATAAGGTCTTCTTTACAGGTGAACAGTTTGATGCCTGAAACTAGCAGGAAAAGAACTTTGGTTTACTAAAAACTGTTAAAAATCTATATGTAATGAAATGATATTCAGATAGAATATAATCAGTTTGGAGCAAAAAATGAACTGCAGCATAAATATAAAGTCTTAAATCACCTGTAGGTTGATGACTTTTTTGTGTGTGAACAGTTTGACAGGTTAAAGGGACAGAGAAAGAACTTTTCTTATCAAAAATTGGGAAAATGTTAACAATTTTCAAAGAGAGACTGCAGAAGAATCACTTCTGATAAATGATTGGAGCTGCAGGTCACTCAAATACAACTCTTTTAAGAGTTAGGAGGATAAAACATACAAAATGAAAAACCATATAACTGTAGACTAAGTGATTGTTAAACAAACGTTCATCTCATAGGAGAAATGTGGAGATTTTTTTTACTACATAAAATGAAAAGTGAGTCACCAAGTATCATGGAGTTCTGATGGCTGTGACATGAAGAGTCACATGAAATTGAAGAAGGCTGATAGGAGTGGTAAAAAATATTCAAGAGAAGGAAAACTCACCAACCTAGAAAAGCTGCTCTCTCAGCAGTGTGAAGAAACCAGGGGCAGTTAATTAGCTGACAAGAGGGCTTCAATGGCCAACTCCTGACTGACTGGATAAAACCAGAGCTTGATGGAAGAGCTTCACTTACAACTATTACACTTCTGAAATTTCTCAGCAGGTTTTGTTGTTCTTTGTAAGCAGAAAAGGGAAAGATAGGTGAGGCAGCTGCTTTGCTACGTAGGAAGAGATGTGGAGCTCTAATTGGAAAATGCAGAACTCTGATGAGTGGAAGACTGGCTGGATTTGTTTGCCTTGCTCTGAGAGTCAACCTCAGGGCAATGAGCTGTGAGCTCTGTTTGCCACAAGCTAACAGAATCTTTTAGCATCTTAGAGAGCGAACACTTGACGAGGTTTGTCTGCCTTGTCTAGAAAAAAGCAGTAGGATGGACTTTGCAGTTCCCAGACTTAAAGGAAATTGTTAGTCAAATCAATGTTACAACTCTTTTCTAATCCCCTTTTAAGTGATTGTAACTAGAAAGGGCTTTTAAATGCTTTGTCAATTCAAGAATGGGAGAGAAGAGAATCTGCCCAACTGAAGAGCGATGGGGATCAGAAGGAGAGCAGGTAGCAAAGAAAAGGTTTTGTGTCATATTCATGTTCCTGGCTAGACTACTTACATCAGAGCCTTCAGTCTAGAGTTATTCAATACTCCGAGCACATGGCTTTTTCTCACTTGTATTCCCTTACCAGACTTTTCTGTGTGTGAGAGCAGATATTGAGTGGATTAGTGGGAGAGTAGGATTCACTTAGATGTACTGAGTCTAGTGCTGTTTCTTCCATGTCATGCTGTTCTCTGAAACACTGATTCGTAAAAGCCCAAGAAAAAAAGACACTTTTCCACTCCATAGTCAGACTACATTTGGATTATTTTGTTCAGTTCTGTCTGCCACAATTTAAGAAGATGTATTTATTATTCCTGCATTTACTTTAATATATGAGTGTGATGTGTTTACTATGATGTGATATGTGTTATTATTCCTGCATTTATTCTTAATATATGAATGCCTCTTATAATTTCTTTTTTATTACTAAGTAAAAACTCTCTCGGGATACTAGAGATAATACTTTTGGGAGGGGGTGAGGGTGGGGAATATACTCCCCCTACTTACTACTTTAACTATTCAGCCCTCATAGATGCACTTTCATTTACACATATAGCCACACACAATAATGACACTCAAAGTAGTTGTTAGGGAGAGTGTTTCTCACTCCCTCCTACCCCACCCTGGACACTAAGAGAATCTGAATGTAATCACAGGATGGTGATGTTTCTGGGAAAACTAGACATGCCAGTGTGAGAGCAGGTTGGGATGAGTGAGCCAGCCCAGAAGTGAATATGTGGCCACGGGACCTTTCTGAGAGGTATGAGGCATATCAGTGTGAATGGTCACCCTATGTACTCATTTTACCTAAAAAGACTAGCTTTACACAAATGTAATACAATTCTTTCTGAAGATCTAAGCCGTTGGATACGGAAGGTTGCAGAACAAAAAAAAAAAAGCAAACACTAGGTAAGAGCTGAGAAACTGAAAGAAAGGGACGGAATTCTTTCCAGGTATGAAATATCTCTTGTGCCTCTCTTCATAAAATCATGGAATCTTAAAGTTGAAAGTTTCTTTAAAGCTCATCTAGCTGAAACCTATTATTTAGTGATGGAAACCACCCTATAGTATTTCTAAGAGATGGCCATCGAGGCTCTATTAAAAGAAGGAAGTCTGTTTCCTTCTTGGATGGTTTCCAATGTTAGAAAATTCTTATTTATATTGAACTGAAATGTGTCTCTTTGCATCTTCCACCCACTGGTCCTACTTCTGCCCTCTGGAGCAATCCAACAGAACTCAACTCCCTTTTCCGTTTGACAGCTGTATTTCACCTTAGTTTTTTCTAGTCTTAATTAAAACCTAGCTCCTTCCATTTTTCCTCATGTGGTTTGGTTTCCCTGAAATGATGAAGGAATAAAACTATAATTATAATTTTTATTCACAAAAAAAATGAGATAAACCCTAAGGACAGCATGTTCTTAAATCATAGTTACAGGACCAAAAGGGGCCTGAGTAGCCTCTATATCCAAACCATTCCTTCAAAGTTATTGTTTTTCGTTCAATCATTCTTCAGTCATGTCCAATTCTTTGTCACCCATTTGGGGTTTTCTTGGCAAAAATAATGGAGTGGTTTGCCATTTCTTTCTCTTTTTACAGATGAGAGGACTGAGGCAAATAGGGTTAAGTGACTTGCCTAGGATCACACAGCTAGTAGCTGTCTGAGGACACATTTGAAGTCAGAAAAATGAGTCTTCCTAACTCTAGACCCAGCATTCTATCCACTGTTTAACACAGCTGTTCTCAAAGTCTTCCAAGACACTATCCTACTTTCCTTCCTTTATATTTCTCACTGTCCCCAAACTTAAGGAGTGGACATTTTGGGGGGTAAAGCACCAGAAGAATGAAATGACTTGTCCAAGGCCACACAGTTATATGGTGGAACCAGAATTTAGGTGTCCTGTATCTGGTTCTATTTCTACTTTGCCGTGCTGCTCTTTGAAATCCTGATTCATAAAACTACAAGAAAAGAAGGTAACTTCCCACTCCGTACTCTAACTTGATCAGGGTATTTTGTTTAGTTCTGTCCGCCACAGTTTAAGAAAGACATTGATTTATAAGCTAGATAGCCTCTAGAGGAGGGCATCCACAATGGCAAAGGTCTTTATGCCTATGTCATGTCAAGATCGATCAAAGGAATGGGGGATAGTTGACGTAGAGAAGAAAAAAAACTGAGGGGAAGGAGAGAAGGGAGATGGGATCTCTGCGTTTAAGTATTTGCAGGACTCTCGTATAGAAGAGGGATTGGACATGTTCTATGTGGTCCCAGAGAGGGGACGAAGCAGGAGCAATAAACGGAAATTGCAGAGTCAAATTTAGGGTAGATGTTAGGGAAAACTTCCTAACAAGGAAAGCTGTCCACAAGTGGAATAGACTGCCTTGAGAGAGGGTAGTCCTTGTTCATCTTTAAGCAGATGCTGAATGAGCACTCATCAGGTATTTTACAGTGGGCATTCCTTTCATAGAAGGAAGTGGCCATCTGGCCACTGATGTCCTTTCAACTCTAAAATGGTGTGATCCTGTGGTTCTATTAAAAGACAAAAAACCCACCTGCTGGGTGAAGGTGGGTGAATCACTCTCATAGAAATGGAGAGGTCATGATTGGTTTTCTCCAATCTTTCTTTAAATCTGCTCATGAGCACACCAGTTTGAAGAGAGTTGATTTGGGCTGTTCCCCAGATAAAGGTTAATCATTAGTAGTTTGGTTAGGACAGAACATTTGGGTCACAGATTCAATTCAATGATCATGTTTAATATGCATATTCATTATTTCATTACTATAAGCAATATTTATGCCATGTGTTAATACAGATTTTTTTTAAATTAATATCAGCCAGAGAGGCAAATTGGTGTCTGAAGCAGAGGTAAGTTGAACTTCTAGTAAGCAGCTGATCAACATGTAACTCTCCAACGTTATTCCCTTGCTTTAAAGTTATATCATGACATGACGTGGGTGTTGTTGTTGCAAAAATCATCCATTCACTAAGCTGGATCATAGTCTTGCATACTTATCTGTTCTTTCTTTGCATGAATCAAACCAAATAGTCTAATGGGATCATCATGAATGTTCTCCTCCAACACATCTCTTTCTTCTCTGAAACTGGGAACTGAATTGTTTTTAGGTAGTCTGGTATCCACTGCATGTAATTTCTCATTTTCATCCTTGTGTGAAAAGTGAGATTTCGGCTTTCTGCGTTTCCCCTTGATGCTGTGATCCAGTGAGGCATAGCACATGTGTGTGTCAGCTTCTGCCTGAAGGAGGGGGAAAAGCACGTTAATATTTCCTTGTTTAGTTCAGGGGTTGAGAACCTGCAGCCTGAGGCCACACGCAGCCTTTTGACTGAGTCCGTGTTTTTATTAAGGGGATTTGTTTGTTCCGTGAAGTTTGGATTCAGTCAAAGGGCCACACTTGAGAACCTACAGAGCTACAGGTGGCCTTGAGGCTGGTTTAGCATATCTTTTTACATCAATGGTTCCCACTAGTTTTTCTTTATACTTGGCTTCCATCAGATTGCTTTCTAGTGCTAAACTTTTCAAATCAGGGCAGAAAGGAGAAAAGAATGAACCAAGTTCTTTAGGACAGGGTACATGCCTTTTAGCAAGGGTGGAAGCCAGTAGGACTTAACAGAGTATCAGCCCAATTATTAGATCAACTTATTGTATGACTTCTTCCCAAATTTAGAGTAAGCCAGAGAAGGAAGGAATTTTATAAAAATTTGAGAATTGAGTAGATGATTTGGGAACTACAGAGAGGTATGAATTTATTCACTAATTCAACAGATATTTATTACATACCTACTGTGTATGAAGCATAGTACTAGGTGCTGTGGGATATATGCATGTGAATAAGAAATGGTTCTTGACCTTGAATATAATATATAGTTCATTAGGGAAAATAAGACATGTACATGTACAAGTCTAATAAAAAGCTACATACAAGTGCCATAATAACATTAAATACAATTCATTAAAAGGGAGAGATGGCTTTTGATTCACTTGATTAGTGAAAGCAACCTGGAATAAGCTCTAAAAGAATTTGGGTAGGTAGAGATGTGAAGAACAGCTTTCCAGGCATGGGAAACACCATGAGCAAAGGTCCAAAGTCAGGAAAGCACAAGGTATATTCTAGGAACAGTTAGTCTAGATAATTAATAAGTTGTATAGTGGGTAGGTTCCAGAGGACTGGACTTACACCTAGGAAGATCTTGGTTTAAATCTCACCTTGGATGATTACTGCATGTGAGGAGGTAGAGATCTCAAGTGGCAGAGCCAAGATTTGTGTACTGTTCTTATGGTACCAGAACCCATGCTCTTTCCACTGCACCAGAAGTGCCCCTGCCAAAGATGAGAAATACTGACAAGAGAAGAGCATTGGTTTTGGCAGGTATCAGGCCCATTGGTTACCTGACTTGAATATTGTTTCAGTAGAGCAATGGGAGTAGAAGCCAGCCTTTGGGGTTGAGGCTATATTGGATGATAAGAAAGTAGAGTAGGTGTACATCAGCATTTTTGAGAAGTTTGTGACAGACAAGAGAGTTCAGTGATGATAATTGGGGGGAGGGGCAAAGCTGAAAGCTATTTCTTTTAAGAGAGGGAAGGTCTTTGCATCTTTACAAAGTTTAGGCAATAACTGGAGGGAGCAAAATCCTGGGGACAAGACAGAGAATGGAGGGCAAGGGCACAACAGAGGGGTTAAACTTGGAAAAGCAAAGGGACACCTCATAAGAGACAGAAGAAAAAGAAAGCATAATAAGTGAACAGTCCAGGCTAAAGAAGAAGAAACATAATAACCCCCATTTTCTTAGTAGTATAAAATAGCTTTAGTTAAAGTAACTAGCAGTGGACTGAGAGATTAAATGTCTACCTTTCAATTCTAGATTTTAGAAGTAAAATAGATTTGTTTCCAATTTTTCTAGCAGTTTAAAAAAAGTGATATTTTATCTTTAAAAGTTTCCTTTATAATGTAGTAGAATTGAGATGTACCTAGTATGGCCCAAGCAGAGGTTTGTCCCAATGCGACAAGATGGAACATCTCCCTCTCTAGTCCTTCACCTGCTGCCTCAGGACCACTACCCCTAGGTACTGTTGCTGTAGTGGTCTTCTCCCCTTTGCCATTGCTGCTACCTCTTCCCCGGGGTAGCTGGGACTTAATAGGCGTGCAACAGAGGTGCCACTTGAACTTTTAGGAGAGACTGTATCCCTTCTCCTTGGGAAACTGGCCTCCTGTCATCTTCAATTCTCCCCTTACTTCTTGCAATTTAATTTGTTCTGAATGCAACAATTCTTAGTTACAGCTCGGCAGTAAATCCCTTATTAACTAACAACTAACAGATGTCGGTAGGACCTGGGGGCTTACGGGAGGGGAGAGCCCAGACTTGTGATATCATAGATGTAGGGATGTCCTATTTTAGGAAACTTCCTCTACCTACATAGATTGGAAGTTATTCTGCCTGGGACAGGAAGATGGTAAGCGATTTGCTCAGGGTCCTATAGCTAGTATGGGTCAGAAGTAGGACCTAAACTCAGGTCTTCTAACCTCTGAGACCGCTCTCTATCACCCCACTCCACTACCTCTCAGTAAGCAGGTTTCATGGTAACAAATATGAGAGTTTTTATGTTGTGCCCATTTTAATCAGATTGAACTGAGGGACTCTAAAACAATTATTTTAAATGGGCATTACTACATTTATGGGAAGAGTATAATGGTAAGACTAGAAATGCTAACACCAATTCTGAAAAGCTATTATATAAAATGATACCTTCTTTTTCTCTCTAATGCCTTAAGGTTTTGTGCAGACTTCACTTGAGTAAAAACCAGATGCTGCCTGAAATACACTGGCCTTTCATGTTTACATATGCTGTGTACCAAAGACTTCATTAACTGCCATTCAAAATCCCCAGCTTATGCACCACTCAAGCATTACTGATATATAGTTCTAGTTCAGTTCCTGTGGTCCTACTTGCAAACTGTCTGAAAAGTGCTTTAGAAAAAAAAAAAAGGGTTATTTCACCTCCCAGGATCAAACAATTGATAGAAACCACTGTGTAGCTGAAGAGTATGAATTTTTTTTTCAAGCCCAGTACACATGCTGAAATGAACATAACAAATACATCTATTAGTCAGAAGGCAACTTCACACTTTGCACAAGTTTAACCACATATTTATGGTTTGAGCTGTGGTTTGGTGATAAACATTATTAGACACAAGTGTTTTTAGATCACTGCTAAGGTATCTGGGATTCTTAATAAAAATTCTGAGAAGGCCTATCAATTTCAGGAGAGTATGTGAAACTAAGCAGTGAGGAAAAGGGAATCTTATATCCTGGGAAATTCCTAGGTTCTAATTAATTTTATTAGGATGGTTAAAATGCAGACTATTGCATTACTCACTCTTCGAGTTTCCATTAAAACCTTTTTTGTCCCTTTCCAGAAATTAGAAGAGATTGAACATGGAAAGAGCTTGTGGCCACTTTTCTAGTAAAGTTTCGTTGTTGTTTTGTCAAAGTTCCTGTTTCTCTATGTCCAGGTCCGTCCTACCTGAATGAGTGGTATAGGTGTTTTTTCCCAAAGAAAAAAATGCAGAAAATAGGACCTCATTTACCTTAATGTAAAGCAGAGGCACTGGAAGTGGCATCCATTGTCTTTTTATTGGTGAATCCTTGACATTAATGTAGATACTATATACACATTGTTCCAAATAGTGAAAAGGTTGAACTGGCTAATCAGAGATGGAATATTTTCTGTTCTCCAAATTATTCTCTTTCTCATCCTGAGACTGAAAGTTGAATTCTTTTTGCTTAGACAGTAAATCTGTACATAGAAGGTATTGAATTGCATAAAGTGTAGGAAATTCCTAATAGAAAGCATAGATTAGATGGATGGGTGTTGTGTGGGTGATATAGCATTTTTCAAAGGCCTTTACAAATACTATTTTATTCTCACATCCACTCTGTGACATTGGTGTTATTATTACCCCCCACACACACATTTTAGAGATGAGAAAATTGAAGCAAACAGAAGTTAAATGGCTTGCCCAGGGTCAGATAGTAAGCGTCTGAGGTCACATTTGAACTCATGTCTTCCTGATTCCAGGACCAGCACTCTCCCCATTGCACCACCTGGCTGCCTTAGTAGGCCTCTGCTTTTCCCTTGAATTTGTCTGTGAGCCCCACAGGAAAAATCACCTGCGTAGGGGAGCACTCCTGCTTTTCATTTACGGCTCTCTCGGGCCGGGCTTTCATTTGTTCATAGCAGCTTTCATCTGTAGGTCCTTGTGAGTTAAGAAGAACATGGTTAGAATGGAAACAAATGTAAAATGTGTAGCTCAGATTAAAACGTGGGCTGAAAACTACATTTACAAGTAAGTCTGAAGCTCTGAACAGTACATGGCTCTCTGAGTCACCCTCTCTCAACTGGTGGAGGTGAAAAAAGAAGGGGTTCAGTTTATGTAGTTCCTTCTCTAGAAAGCATCTTTCTCTCTGTAGTAAGTATGTACAACACAAATGTGTCTTTGACCACAGAGTTAATGGTGAGAAGAAAATAATCAGCTAGAGGCTGGAATCACATTAATCCATTTTCCATCCTCAATGTAAACTTCAGTGGGAAAGTAACTATAATATAGAAACCCATAGCATGTTATGGAAGTCCAAGGAGAATAATGTTTAAATATTATGGAAAACCAATGAATTTTCCAGCATACTTATAGGATCAAAAGATAATAGATTTAGAGCAAGAAGAGACCTTGGAGCTCATTGACTCCATCTTCATTTATAGATGAGGAAAATGAGGCCCAGAGAAAACGAATCATTTGCCCAGGGTCTCATAACTGATAAACATCTGGGGCAGGATTAGGACCTAGGCCTTTTTGACTTATCTATTACTAAAGATTAGGAGGTTATAACAACTCAGTTGAAATGCATAATTACTATTTGATTGATTGGGTATGAACAAGAAGTAAAATGAAGCTTGCAAGGCTGAAAGATAAACAATGCCTTTAAGTAGTGGAAGTCTGTAAGCCTGAGAAAGTGAGTTTACATTAAGGGATCTATCCAGGAACCACTGACAAAAGTCTCTGCTTCCCTTGAGCTTTGTCCTAAATAACCTCTCTGTATAGCTTTGGTGAGCCAGCAAAATTTCATTCATTTCTTATTAAGGAGACAAAGGTATGGGAACCTTTGCTTTGCCCCTTTGGCCCCTTCATGCCTCATCTTACAAATAATGAGATGTTAGCTGATAGCTTGTGTACCCAAGTGGGCATGCTTGAGGGGGAAAATGGTAATAATCATCTCTGGCAGGGACCAGGCAATACATTCTCTTTTTATGAATTATCCAATTTTGAGCCATAGAATATAAAACAAATTTCCTAGAATAAGATAATGCCTAATTATAAATCAACATTTTCTGAAATATAATGTAAAACTCATGTTCCATGAAGCACAAAGATATCGCTAATCTTTGCGGGAATGACTATTAGTAGTCCTCAAATCCATAAAACTTGGTATTGAGATTGGAAAGGGTGAAACAGGCAGTAATAAACTTAATTTTGATAGTAGGGGAGAACCAGTCTCAGAATCTGGAAGACATGGGTTCAAGTCCTTCCTCTCACATAGGATAATTTTATGACTCTGGGAAAGTTATTTAAACTTTCAGTGCCCAGGGCAGAATTCTAAGACTATTAAACGGTAAAACACTAGCTGATCCACATTGATAAAGGGAGTATTTTCACCAATAGTTCACCAAGAAAATACAGGTCTAAACCAAAACAAAGCAAACAAATAAGTGCCCAGACCACAGATGCGTTGTTATTCAGTCATGTTCCACTCTCCATGACCCCATTTGGGGTTTTCTCAGCAAAGATACTAGGTGGTTTGCCATTTCTTTCTCCAGTTCATTTTACAGATGAGGAAACTGAGGCAAACAAGGTTAAGTGACTTGTTTAGGGTCATACAGTTAGTAAGTATCTGAGGCTGGATTCGAATCAGGTCTTCCTGACTCCAGACTGACACTCTATCCACTGTGCCATCTAGCTGCCCTAGCCCACAGATGCACTTGGGTTTTCTAGCTTCTCCTAACTCATCACAAAACAGAGAATAAAAAGGGAAATGGAAAAAAGAAATCTTTAAAAATACAATCTAGGTATATCCATAAAGCTTTATAAACATAATTATAGGCAAAATATCAAGGAGACATACACATTGTTTATTGGTCCTATGTTAAAATTAGCATAGTGCCTGAAATTAAGAATTGTAGGATCTAGAGATAAAAGAGAAGAGAAAGCCTTTCTGCTATAATTTAGCAAATTAAAAGAGCTATCTAGAGCCCAGTGGGGGACAAGAAAATGCCATGCATATGCTACCAACTTTTTTCCTCCCAGTAGCTTTTGGACCTGGTTAATGGTAAAGGGATTTTGATGGGTTCTCTACTTAGGTGGTTTGAATGTGTCAATTAGGAAGGGGTGAACCAAGTCTGCCCTTGATGCCAACATAAAAGAATTATAAAGAGCTCAGCCGCAGTTAAGCTCTTCTCACCTCTGTCTACAATTAAGCAGTACACAAATAGAACCTTTAATTATCAAGCATAGCCAGAAACCAAAAGAAAGCTTTCGTTGTTCAGGGTTATTTTTTTTTTTTAGAAAATTTATTGTAAACAGAGCAATGGAGCATGGTTGTAGGACACCCCCTGCACTGGAAATCGCTTTGTTACAAAGAAAACTTTTCTTTGTATCAGTTTTCATTATAACAGAATTTTTACCTGTATTCTTATCATTACTGGAGTAAAATGTAGGCAACCCTAAAGTAGCTGGAGACTTAGCTAATATGTTACAATAGTGATATTGTAAATAATATGAGATAAATTTTCCACACAGTAGGATGATATTAATCTCCCCCTCTTCCTAGAACATATATTTACTGTAAATAATTTTAACATGATCACAACAAAATACAACTTACCAGAAAGCACATTATCAACATTGCCATAAATTGGTGCATCTTCAATGTAATACTCATCTCCTCTGCAATAATAAAAATGAAATTACCACGTGGAATTACTGTGTAGAACAAATGCATATTTTATGTTGTTTATGCCAAGGAGAAAAAAAGTCTCACTCATACAAATGTGGTTTTGTCACAAATTTCATTACTTGCCATTCAGGCTTTTGAAAAAAAATTGAAGTGAGGGAAAGAAGATTGAGAAAAATGAAACTTATTTCTGCTATTAACCACTCAGTATTTTATGACGGTAAAACTACTTGATGAATAGAAATGAGTTATCTCCCAACATCTCTACAGAGCTAGGTTAGTATCTATCATCTGACATTTTAAAGTTATGAAAACTGAGGCTGAGGAGAAGAATTACTTATAGTAATATCATAGAGTAAGTTTCAGTGACCTATGAGGTTTTGAGTTTCTAGTCCATTGCCTAACCCAGGCTCATAAAGGATTATCAGCCTACTCAAAGACAAGGTAGAGATACCTGATTTCAATGGTTCAAACAGCTATACATCTATTAACAAGAGAGGACTGTCCTCTTCAAAAAAAAAATGGTTCTGATTTCTCACTACTACGTACCCTTTCATTCTTGACTCCTACCTTGACCTAAACATTTGTCATTGTTATTCAGTCATTTCAGTCATGTCCAACTCTTCTTGACCCCATTTGGGGTTTTCTTGGCAAAGATACTGATGTGGTTTGCCATTTCCTTCTCCAGCTCATTATATAGATGAAGAAACTGAGGCAAACAGGTTTAAGTGACCAGTCTAGGGTCACGCATCTAGTTCATGTCTGACACCACATTTGGACTCAGGAAGATGAGTGTTGCTGACTCCAGGCCTGGCACTGTATCCACTGTACCACCTAGCTGCCCAAGCTTGTATACCTTAAGGGTCCTAAGTATGCATACCTTACTTCCACCTTTCACTTTCCATCCCTGAATCATACCCAATAAATGGGTTGCCATTGTGAAATAGGTGATTTCTCATCAACATCTTGCTCCTCTTATTTATCATCCATTTGACAAACATTTATTTAGCATTTACTTCCTTAAAAATGCACCATGACCAGAAAGCAATGTGGTACAATGGAATGACCACAATATTTGGAATCAGAAGACCTGGGTTCAATTCCTGGCTCTGATGTTTAACCTGTCTAAGCCTCAGTTTGCTCATCTGTAAAATAAGTGGGTTGGGCCAGATGACCCATAGATGACTAAATAGCTCTAAATCTGTGATCTTACTTTCTATTCCTGGTGCTGTGTATCCCAAATACCTTAGGCTCCTATCCCATGGGGAAGAAAAAGGGGAAGGGAATAAGCATTTTCATCGTACCTGTTAGGGTACCTAAGTGGTGCGGTAGCCAGAGCTCTGGGCCTGGAGTCAGGAAGATTCTTCTTTCTGAGTTCCTGACTCCATATCCAAGCCTCAAACACTTACCAGCTGGGCAAGTCACTGAACCCTGTTTGCCCAGTTCCTCAGCTGCATAATGAGCTGGAGAAGGACATGGCAACTACTTCAGTATCTTTGCCAAGAAAAACCCCAGTGAGGTCATGAGGAATCAGACATGACTGAAACAAGCCAACAACAAAAATAGTACCTACTATACACTAGGCACTGTAGGAAGCACTTTTTGCTAATATTATCTCATTTGTCATAGAAACAGAATGTTGGAGCTGGAAATATCTAATCCAATTCTATTATTCTACTGTTGAGGACCTTGAGGTTGAGAAGAGGTGAGGAGACTCACATCATTACACAGATAATTAGTGAAAGACCTCTAGAAGAAAAATCCAGGTCACTTACTTTAAATTTGATATTCTTTCAACTATACCATGGCCTGCACTTCATTGCAAAGTAACTAATGCCAATTTATCACCCTTTCGAGGAGCAAACAGAGAGCTTTTGAAAACTTAAATGGTTCCAGGTCTAAGAGACTAAACCAAATAGAAATTTCAGGTACTGTGACAGGAAGGAAGAGAACATATTTTGGAAGGAGGATGGGAGAGGGCTTCCTGACAACCCTTTAATTATACCAGAGGTTCCCAAACTTACTTGACTGACCACCCCATTTTCAAAAATAAACTACTCAGCATCCTCTGGAAATCTACTTTCTTTAACCCTTTATTTTTTTAAATTTGTTTCATTTCAAAAAATATGCAACATTTTAAATGATGCATCTTAAATTTAATAATTTATTGTACATTTGTGGGGTTTTTCCTGCATTGAAATTTTGATGATACAGTATTGCATCATGTAACCATATAGTATGGTATTGTAAACAAGTCATTTCACACACGTGTTCTTGCTGATGCATGCTGGACTTCCCAACAATAGGCAATATGCTCACCTGTAAACAGTTGCTTATTAAGACCTGTCCACAGACTTGACCACTCATCAGTTATAATTTGCATTTTGTGTGTTTATTTGGAAAATAATGGAATCACTATAACTTTAACTCTGTTACACAATGGATGAAAAGTACAAATAGTTTTTCGAAATTTTCTTATCTTCTTTCCTTATGCTTCCGCCACCCCTTTATTTTTATTCAACACTCCCCAATTGTACCTGAGGCTATATCACCCCCATCCCCAATCATTCCAGCACCCCCCAGAGGATGGTATTGCCCACTTTGGGAACTTCTGAATTATATCATGCAGAGTTAACTACTTAAGGTTTTCAGGACCTATGGGCTAAACTATGATATGTACTGCTTATCCAGTTTTGGCAATTTGCACTAACACAACCAAAGTGTGTTTTCTACCCAGTATTGATCTTTGCTAAAAGGTAACCAAAAGAAGATAAAATAGGTCATTTCAGTTTCATGAAATTGAAAATATTTTGTGCTAACAATCAATAAAAGTAGAATAAGAAAGGAAGTAATCGATTGGGAAGAGTCTTTATATTATACATTGTCATAAACAGTCTTTATGTCCAGTCATTTCCTAATAGATAAGTGGTCAAATGATTTAAACAATTTTAAAAAGAATTGCAAACTCTTATTATCCGTATGAAATATGTTACTAATAATAAAATACAAATCAAAACAACACTGAGGTTTAGGTCATGCTCAAATTGGCAAAGTTGATTAAAGATGAGAAAATTACATTTTTTAAGAGGGAGATGTTGTTATGGTAATACATGCACACTTATATAATGTCGAAACTATGCAATGGTCCAATCATAACAGAAAACAATATGAAATTATTTTAAGAAAGTGACTTTAAAATGTTCATACTTTTTGACCCAGGGATTCTATTGCTGAAGTATATGCCTAAAGGAGGTCAAAGACAGAAAGAATGGCAGGTCCTACATATACACCAAAATATTCATAGCATCGTTATTTAACTTGCAAAGGACTGGAAACAAAGCAGATTCAATTGGAGAATGAATAAACAAATTGTGACGCATGAATATAATGGAATATTTCATTGTTAAAAGAAATTATTAATGTAACAAATTCAGAGACGCATGGAAAAACCTATATAATCTGACCCAAAATGAAGAAAGCAGGAAAAGAAAACAATATATACAATTACAATAATATAAATGGAGAAAAAACAACAACAATAGCAAAACTAAACTAAACTGAACACTATCATTATAATGACCAGGCTTATCAATGATGGAGAAATAAAAAATGAACCACTTTCCCATCTTTGAAGAAATAGAATATGATGGGTGTGAAATATTCTATATACTGTCAGACTTGGTTGGTGTATTCATTAGTTTTGTTGACATGATTGTTTTTCTCTTTTTAAAGGGTTATTTTTTACAAGGATGACCTGTTGGTAGGGAGAAGGAAAAGAATACTCAGAAGTAAAAGGTATAAAAATAAAAATTATCAATAAAATATTCTAATAAATCCATTCTTTTTGAGTCAGGGACTGTTATTTATTTGCACATTTTAGACTTCAAATGCCATGAAAAAATAAAAACTTAAATATTACTGGATCTTCATGAAAAAAAGAGGTATTACGAGGTAGGTTCATTTAAAAGAAACAGCAGAGTAAGCAAAAGCATGAAACAGACAAGGGCTTGGGCATAAGAATGAACTGACCTTGAAACATTCAGGAAACACAAACTCTGACAACTCTCAACACAGGTCTTTGACAGTCTAAGGAATAAAGTCAGTCACTGCTTCCTTTTTAGAATTAATAAGCTAATCATTTTGTTATTTGTTTAGATCTCTTGACAATCTCATCTCCCCTTTATAAGGAAAACATGGCACTGGAAGTTCCCATCCCCTTACGGGAATGACCAGAGGCTTAAGTGCTTGGCCATCACTATGACAGGTTTAGGCAAAATAAAATTTCAGACTAGCTATAATACTTTATCACACAAAATGGTGTGCTTGCTATTAAAAAACCTTATGTGATAAAAGAAGGGAAAACACCAAGAAAAATTAATGATAGAAGGAAGTATAACAATATTAATGTGACTTTGCCACATCTATAAAAGGGGAACATGTATTTAAGTAGATGTCCAACTATTTTTGAACCCTAAAAGAATTAATATCTCTAGAAGATGTCATCTATAGAATAATGCTTGAGTTTTTCCATCTGTAAATTAAGGAATATAACCAATCTTGTGAGTTAGTTTGTCATGAGAATCAAGTATGATTATATGAGTAAACATGTTTTGTAGACTGTAATGTTTAAGTATAAAATGTTTTTTAATGTAGCATTATTTTACATAGTGTAAAATTCTCGTGTATTTTGGTCTATTTGTGAAGTAGATGAAACACAGGATCATGGATTTAGAACTAATGATACTTCAGTGGGCATCCAGTCTAACCCATTCATTTTACATTAGAAGAAACTAAAGCACAGAGAGGTTAGGTGACACGGCCATGGTTACATATGTTGGCAAAAAGAGGATTTGAATTCAGATCCTCTAACAACGTTTTCTATTGTGCCATATTGAACAACCTAAGTGACATGGTGATATCCCTGAGATCCTAAAAGAAAAAGAAAGGTGCTATGCATTGGTCAGATCCTTTGGGGAGGATTTTGTAGGAAACT